AATGCTGTCACGTAACTTTAGAAAAAAATAACTTTTTAGAATGTATTTTTTTTCTGTCAACTTTCATTTAACACTCCAGTCCAGTTGGTGGCAGTAATGCGCTTTCATAGTTGGTCAAGCAGCCGCCATTAAACTCCAGAGGAAGATTTGCACCGGCTACTGCTAAACCCAACATGAACGAAAATGCCCATGCGTTGTGTGAAATGGTGGAAAAAGTCCTATTTATGACACCGCGGCGGTCCAACAGGCCGAACTCACGGTAAGAAAGCTTTAATGAATAGCGAGCACGTGCAGCGAGGCTAGTTGCTTTGTTTGTTTCTTACAGAAAGCGGTCTGTTTTCATATGCCAAAACAAGTGTAGGGAGAGATTTTGTATTGTATTTTTAATTACATTTGATGTTCTGAACTATTAAAAATACTCGCATCTTCTTTTATTTTTTCAGACCTGAAAAATGGCCAAGCCTTCACAGCCAGGCCTCAGACCACGGTGCCGAGGCGCTCTGACGGAGTCCACCAGGACGAAGAGAAATACAGTAAGTTATGATTTCACATTTAGACAATAGTGAACACTCGCATATTTGTAAGGAAAACTGATCTTCCCGTTATTTTATTTATTTTGTTATTACGCAGTACAGCAAGGCAGAGTGTGGAAAGCAGTAGAGATCGACAACATGGCGGACGGAGGACGGATATGAGGACGGAGCCCTGAAGCCGGTATGTATTATGTATAGTCACTGCGTTGATTCCCGACTGTATAATGGTTGGTTGAGAATAATTTTAACTTATTTATTTATGTATGTTTGAGAAAGCGATATATTTGCTACAATATTTTTTTTTATTTTACATTTATTTCCACAGACACTCCACAGAATGGGAGTCACATTTGTGTCAGACTCTTCAGGAACGTCCTGATGTCCATGACAAGGACAGAGATGCAACTGTGTGTGAGTATCTACTATTTTAGAATGTTGATATTTTATGCGTCAATATTGTTTATGTACATAATGTAATTATGCTATGTATTGACAATGCATAAAAATGTTTTCCAGCTGCATCCAGGACCTACTGCCAGTCATCTGGATGTAGCTAAAGAAAGAAGCAGGTAAGATCTAGAGATGTCACAATTCTTTGAATGATTAAAGTACTGTAATTTATTAAAATCAATCAAGGCAAATTATCTGCCTCAGAGTTTGTTGAACTATGTTTTACTATTTATTACCAACTGATTTTAATTATTTTTTCTTCCAATTGTTTCCAAGTGTTTTCAGTTTTTCATTAAAGTTTTTATTTTTTTGTAAGAATGTATTAATATATTGTTTTTTTTGTTTGTTTTTTTTTTGTTTGTTTTAATGTCTTATGTGTCCATACCAAGCTGGAAGTTGCCAAACATTTTCACTGTAGTTTCATAATGACAAAAAGATGCCGGTAGCTCGTAATTATTGTCTGTTCTGTATTAACAGCTGATGGAGGAAGGCAGAGAGTACTGGTAGCAGAGGAGGTGGCATTCTGGGAGGATGGCAGCTATGAGGGGGTGTCAGGATGGACTGTGGTGAGGTTGAGACCCCACATTCCCCCAACCAGAAGCTCAGTGACGTCAGGCCTACTCTACAGGAGAGACGTCGGGCCTACGCTACAGGAGAGATGTTGGGCCTGTCCTGTACGCAGCATAATGTTGGATCATGTTTGGACAAAAAAACACTGCCAGATAGTCCAGAAATGGACAAGCATTTATGTCTTATTTTGTGTGCAAACAGTAAAAAAATAAAATTAAATAAAGAAAAAAAACTTCTGTGGCTCATTTATGTTCCTCATATATGAACATGTTGCATATAAGCAATATCAAATGCTTATACAATACAGCGTTTATTTTTATATAGATTTTGTAAAATACAGCATTAAAAATATTAATGATTGGGGTGGGGTTTATTTATAAAGTCATAAGAGCTGTCCAATGGGCACACATCAACCAACCAATCACATGTCAATGATGAACTGTGATGTCATTGTTTTTCATCCAATGACTGAGAATCCACGTGGATCTGCTGAAGCG